CAATCCACGTTCCTTGCTTTTCCAAATTTCTGAGTTTTCCAATGCACTTTTTGCTTCACACTCACAGCTTCACACCCTGCCCTCTAAGGGCCACACTGCCTGGCCTTCCAGGCCTTCTGAAATTGAGGTGGATGCCTTCTTAACCTCAGAACTCTTGCATTCTGCATGTACCTAAAACCAGCACCACGTGGATGATGCCAAGGTCTGCTGCCACCTTGGAGTAGCAGCCAAGCTTTCCTCCCTCTTGGGCATAGGGGTGGAGTGCCTGCATTGCTGGGCACTCTGAATGCAGTTCTGGGGAACAAATTCTCTATGCTGCTGCCATTCTGGAACACGGCACTCTGCAGCTCTCTTCTCAAAGCAGTCTTTCATTTTCACAGTTTTGAGGCTGCAAAGGGTGGAGATTTGCTGTTTGTTGTGATGCCCTCATGCCATCTTTTCTATACTCCTGTTCCTCCTCAATAGTGGAGATCTCCTCAGTTTTATCTTTGCAATCCACAGCTTTAATGGAGCTTCCTTTCTGGCCAAACTCACAACATTTCAGATCATCCTGCTGGGCTCTTTGCTTTTGATTCCCAATGTAAAAGCCCCCCAAAATAGCCATGCCACTGCCCCAACATTTGACTGCCTTGAAATTTCATTTACCAGATTAATCAGTTCACCACCCTTAATCTCAGTCTGAGGCAAATTCTCTGGACACAAGCAAAATGCAAACAAGCTTTCTGCTAAACTGTAACATACATGGTCTGGAGTCCAGCACCCAGTTCAATCCTTCTTCCCAGCAGAAACCCTCCAAACCCAGTCTTTAAAGGCAGGATTTCTACCAGCCTCTGACTAGAATCTCCCATACAGAACAGCCTAATGGGTTTGAGCTCTACTCTTTCAGGCGACATCTCTGAACCTTTCCAAATACTTCCCATAAGCTATTTCCAAAAGCTCTTGAACCACATGGTCAGGTGTAGTCACAAGATCGACCCCACTTCTCTGGTATCAAATTCTGTCTTGTTTTTTTTTTTCTGTCATTGTTGAGACAATATTCCTGAGACCCAGAATTAAGGAAGGAAAGGTTTATTTAGCTCATTGTTTGTGGAAGTTTCAGTCCATATTTGGCTGGGTCAAAGGCAGGGTGGCACATGGCAGAAGGCAACAGTTCATGGTGTTGGAAAATAGCAAAACCAACAAGTGCAAAAGGGAGGTGTGGTGGTAAGTAGTCTCTTTCCCTCCCTTACACTGTATGCAATCTATTCGCCCCAGGGCAGGTGTAGCACTCACATCCATAATTCCAATATTGGACCATGTATCAATCATAAACTCCAGAAGCCCATCCCATGACTGTATGAGGGTTTGGGGGGACATCCAGACACAAACCATAATACCCTCATAGGGTCTTATTCATGCATATAAATGATAACTTGTAAGCAAAGTCACTTCTATTCCTCAGAGAAAGCTAGACATCCATAATTTGATACTGCTTATGATTTTATGAGGTTTGCTTGTGGATATACATAACCCAGGTGCACGCATCTCTTATACAACTTCAAGATAAGGCAAAAATGACCAGGGGAAGAAGTGTTAAAGGAGGGGAGGGTATGTAGGAAAAAGGAAAAATCAGGATATATTATATACAGGTACAATTATGGATGTGATCACTATTATATCTAAAATGTACCAATAAAATTAATGACAACAACAAAAAAAGAACACAAAAGGTGTAGTCCACCTAAAATAGAAGACCCAGTCAAGAAATGGGCAAGTGAAATGAGCAGACACTTCATAGAAGAAGTACGAATGGTCAACTAGTATATGAAAAAAATATTCAGTATCTCTGATCATTATAGAAGTGAAAATTAGAACAACACTGAGATTTTATATTGTCCAAGATAGAGTGGCACTTATCAAGAAATCAAAAATAACAAATGATGGTGGTGTGCTTTTGGTGAAAAAGTAACTTTCCTACATTGTCGGTGGGAATGTAAACTATTACAACCATTATGGAAATCTGTATGGAGATTTCTCAAAAAACTAATTTTAGAAATTCCATATGACCCAGTTATCCCTCTTCTAGGTATCTTCCCTAAAAAACTAAAACATCAAACTGTAGTGATAGATACATATCGATATTTATAGCAACATAATTTATGATAGCTGAATCCTGGAACTAGCCTGTACATCCATCAGTAGATGATTGGGTAAAGAAAATATTATATCTATTTATAATGGAATACTAGTCAGGTATAAAGAAGGGAAAACTGGAGACATCTGTAGGAAAATGGATGCATTTAGAAAATACAGTGAGTAAAATAAACCAGATAAGCAAGCTTAAATACCATACAGTAGCTCTCATTTGAGTAGGGCAAAGTACGAAAGAAGAGAATAACATAGGATGGATTGAAGAAATCAAAAACATGGACCTCTTGCAAATGGGAATCGTGAGCGGTGATGGGGAGGGGAAGAGGAAATAATTAGAATAAAAATCTGCCATGCTAGGGAACCTAAGCAACTCAATGAATATAAATATTATATGCTATAAACATGAGATAAGATTAATAATATCAACAAGAATAATAATGGGGAAGGAGGAGTTACAAGAGTGGGTAGTTAGCAGAAGGGAAGGGGATAACAATAGAAACAAATTCTAATATGTACCTGGACCCAGTCCTCAAGATGATTGTAAACTGCTTGTACTATAAACATGTGTTAAGGAAAAGAATCACCAGACTTTTGAGCCACCATGACTGTAGTATTGTGTTACAGATACCACTGGAAACTAATTCACATCACAAAGTAACTTCTTCTACTTCATTTCTTGTCTTGGCATGTTTCGAAGGGAACTCAAAGTAAGGCCCTCATTAAGTATAAAGGATGAAGAGGACACAGAGGATGCAGCGGCAAATTGATTTTTCTAATTTGTGCTGATGTCGTTGCCCATGACCTTCCTGTCACATGAAGCATATGCTCATGTTCTGAGTGGTATTCCTATTGAGATAAACTAAATAAGGCTTACTAGGACAAATGAGCTATGATTCTTAAGTCTGGTCAGTAATAAATCATTTTGACAGAATTTCACTGTCACTGTGATGGATTAATTGGTACTAACTAGCATCTCTGTCATAAATCACTATGAAATTTGGAAAAAAATGTAAGCTATTTTTAGGCATTGTAAAACAGGCAAAACAATGCAGTGACTTACAATAAAGTAAACTTACAAGGTAATTCTACCACTGCTCCAAATTGTTGCTTGAGGAAAATGTACAGACGGCACTGTGAGCTGGATTCCAGGCAAAACATGTCTGTTCTGCTGAGCTCAAGAGACAGACATTAGAGTTTAATAGGTATGAATAACCTGGTATTTGCAAAGAGAATAGCAAGGAGAGTAGCAAGACTTTCAAAGGTCCATTTTGAGATTTTTCAGGAGTCTTTGGCTGAGGACTGGGCTATACATTCACAGGACAGGACTACTTGAGACTCACCAAAGTATTCACTACAAGGTTAATAGGGAAACAGAGATATTACCAGTTGGCCAGTACTGGGGAACACTGAAGCTCCATCCCAGCAAGAATGAAGAGACCTTTATACCTTGTTAATATCCTGGGCATCTAATCAAAATTATGGTATGACCAATAATGGATGTACTCTTAGCTATCCTAGAACTCAAATCTTACAAGATTTACAAGGGAAACGTATTTTGGAGGTTGATTTCTCAAAATTAGACAGATTTAGGAAAAACCTTTGACTTTCTGTATAACTAACTAACTTAGCAAGGAATAAAACAAAACTTATTGAATTGCCTATTAGAATAAAAATCAATACTACCCAAGAGTAACTATCAAAAGTCTTTACAATGTACAGTAACAATTACTCAATGTGTAAAGAAAGAGAAAAATTTTATATTAGAGTCAAGGATATAAAAACAGAAACAAATCTAAAGATGCCCACTTAGCAGAACTTTCTAAAGACTCTGAAGCAATTCTTTTATGTGCAAAGATGCAAAGGAAAAAATATTCAAAGAATGAAAGGAAAATAAGGTCTTAATTGATGTAAAGATAGTAAATGTCAGCAGAGAAGTAGAAAATAGAAAAATAATCAAATTGAAAGTTTAGAACTAAAAATTACATCATTCAGTAACAAACCCCACTAGATGATGTTAGTATTCCTCTGAAGATGGCTGAAGAGTCAGTGAACTTGAAAAACAGAACAAAAGATACATACTAAAGCTCTTTGGACACAAGAAAGTGAAAACTCTCTTGATACTTAAAGGTACACTCGTCTTTTCAGTTACCTAGTACCCCATATTTGGGATCCTAATGTAGTACCTGACTGTGGTTATATAAATAAATAATCACCTCGGGGGAGAATCTTTCAAAAATTTCACTTTCTTCAAGGCAAGATGTATTATAGTCACTACAAAGACTAAGAAGACCTTATTATCTAACATTTAAGACAGTGTCATGGTTAAATAGGTATTTGTACATAGGTTATGATACCAGTGGGCCCGGATTTAGCTTCTGGCTCTACTCATTGGGTGATCATGGGCAAACTATGACGTTTGTTCACGTGTAATGTGAGGACAATAATATTAGTACATAACTAATAAAGTTTGGAGTTGCAAGGGCGATGATGTTTGTAAAGAACTTGCAACAGTGCCTGGCAAATAGATTTAGTTATTGTTATTACATGTATTTTTCCTCAAGTCCTTTAAGAACAGAACTTTTCAGAGTTAGGAAAAATAATAAAAGAATGAATCACCTTCAAAACATTGGTGGAAGAGTGCTTCATGTCAAAAATGTTCTTAAATCTGCTTTAGAAGATGAAATTGATTACCTTTCCCCTCCTGATCCCAGCTCAGCTCTGTAGATACAGCCTGCTTCTTGGAATAGCTGTCTACCACAGATAAACATTACTCGGTGCTACTGGGTGTGTTCCATGTGTAAATAGATTGTGGAAACACGGGAGGCTGGTTTTTCAAGTTCCTGCTCCTAGCAGTTCATGAGGGGCAAGTAGCCTAGAATACTACATTGTGTATCTGAAAGAAAGGGAACCTACAAAAATGTTCTAACCTTCAGACTGAGGTAAACTTAAGGCTGAGGTAAGACTAATGTGTTTAAGCAATCTTAAGTGTGATATCTGATTTCTTGATTGTTATATTTTGTGTTTGTGCATGAACGTGGTGAGTAGTTTGCTGGTCAGGAAGAAAATGATTCTTTTCACCACTTGGTACTGGATTTTACAATAAAAGGAAAAAGAGATGCATATACACAGAAGGGATATTTTGACCTTTACACTGTTATAAATTTGGTGGATTTGGATCAGAAATATGAGTACTGTCTTGTTATTAGCTCTGGATTTAATCTGAAAAGTGAAGCATTACAGTAGAGCTCACTGAACAATGAATATGTCTAAGTACAAATACATACCCTAGTGACATACAGAAATCAAGTTCACAGCAGGAGTACTGTCATTTTGCCAAAATCTCTCAAATGCTTATGTGTAAAACAGTGCTCTTCCTCTCAGTTACTTTCATTTATTAGAAATTTTGAGTGTTGTGTTTACCATTATTAATTTGGTTTTTGCATTTAGTCCCATTATTGATGTAGACAGATATCTAATATGCAGAGGTTCATGCATGTGTGTGAAGTCTGAAAACCCTTGAATAATATCGACATGGATGTAATATTTTTAATAGCATAAAGAAATGAGATATTGATTGAAAATATGGATATGTGCTGGAAAATGCATCAGGGTTTTTAAATTTTCTTTCATTATAATTTTTAAATAAGCAATTCACTTTTCCTCATTCAGGTAAATGCATAGTTTTGCAAAATAATATATTAAAATATATACCTGGATAAAACAAAGTAGTAGTATAAAGTATAATTTATATGTAATAATACATTTAAAAGTATAACTTAAAAATAACTTCCTTAAAAATCTGGAAACAGGGCTGGGGATTTAGTGCAGTGGCACAGCACCTGCCTGGCGAGCTCAAGGTCATGAGTTCGATTCCCAGTAGCGGAAAACAACAACAACCACAAAAAATCTGGAAACATAGGAATTAGGTATTTAGGTTTTCATTTTATAATAAATTGTTTTATGGTGTTTAGACAACAGCTTAAACACTTGGCATTAAAATTCATTCTCTATATCTTAAGTGTATGAAGCCATTCATTTGGATCTAGTGAAATTCTTAATTAGGGACTTAACACAAACCCACATATGCATATATATTTGCATATGAGCAACTAATATCAGGAAAATGGATAAGCAAAAAGGTGAGAAAATATCTTATTGGTCTCTTGGTTGTTGAATCATGTTTTTTTTTTTCTACGCCTTTATAAGTTCGTAAAGTTCTGTTAGCCTAAATTTGGGAATTATCTGTGTTGTCCTTCAACTTATTCTGGTTTGATAAAGTATTCTAACAGACTTAATGAATAACATTATTGAGTGTCTACCACTTTGTGTCCTGGAGCACATTTAGCATGTTTGTTGAAACTGCCTTCTAATTATTTAGTGTGTCCAGGGAAAGAAAGGGAAATGCAATTTTGAAATATGTGAAAGAGCAGTTTGTTCAACCTAAGCTTTATTATGCAACGTCATAGGTTATGGATGTTTTGCCAGCGTATGTAAACATTTAGCTAGCCATGTTTAATACTTTCTATTTAGGTTCACTTGTAACGATATTGTTGGGCATCCCATGTGCTACATGTGTCTGCTCGCTAGCCCTCTTTCTCTCTCGCCCCCCGCCCCCCACCCACATTTGCACATTTTAGATGATTTCACAGAACTCTCTAACTCCTGTTCAGCAGGTTTCCTTCCTGGTGATCTCTTCCCTTAAGCAGTTTCGTAATTTCCTATGACCTCAGTTTCTGTGCCTGTTCTGATTATGATTTCCCTGTGTCACCCAAAATCCTAGTCCATAGGTTTCTGATTCCGCTGAAGAGAATGAAATAAATTGTTCCCAGTTTGCCTATATCACGTGATGATCTGACAGCTGCAATGGCTGCTGTAATTTCTGAAAGATCACCTGGAAGGGGTCACACCTCATCGAGAAACAAAATGTGATAAATATGCGTGTGCTAGGAAGGCAAGTTCACTGGATCAGGTTTCTCTTGCCTTTCAGGAAATCGTTGCTGTAAGATATGATCAATAAAACACGCCCTATGGCTTCACTTTCTTTTTTAAAATTGACTTTTGTGACTGCACAAAGTGGTACATGCCTGAAATCTCAGCCTTCTGGGAGGTGGAGGCAGGAGAATTGGAAGTTTGAGCACAGCCTGAGCAACTTAGTGGCTTCCCAAGACCCTGTCTCAAAATAAAAAGAAAATGTAGAAGGGGTGGAATATAGCTCTGTGAGAAAGCCCTAAGTTTAATCACCAGTACTGTAAAAAGTAGCTTTAAAAATTACTCTATGACAAAAAACTATCTTGATCACATTACTGACACTGTACTCCCAATTCACCTGTGCATAGTACTGTTAAGAAATCCATTGCATATTTGTGTATTCATTCATTCATTTGATAAATTTTTAGTGACAGATATTGGTCACACACTGCTAGGCACTGGCGAGATTTTATCAGAATAATTTCTTTTTATTTTTGTTTTATAAAAAACAAAATTTCATAACAAAATAATAAGAGAATTAACAATAATTATGTACTGTGCATCATTATCTTCAAAGTAGTTAGAGTACAAAGCATAGACCTAAAAGATTCTTACAAAGCAGAGATAAGCAGATTACACATAACTTTCTTTTTAATGAACTAAGATAAATGTATAGTATAAATGAAACAGACTAGCATATATAAAAGATTTTTAAAACAATGAAATAGGTGAGTACTAACATCAAGAATAGGTAAAGAATAGAAGAATATTACTTCCTCCCAAATAAATGGCTCAGTTATAAAAAAGGTCACTAAAATAAATAGACACTTCTCAGAAGAAGTATAAATGGACAATAAATACATGAAAAAAGGCTCATCATCACTGGCTATCAAAGAAATGCACATAAAACTACAATGAAATACCATCTTAGCCCAGAAAGAATGACTATCATTAAAAAAATCTAATAATAACATATGCTGGCAAGTATCTGGGGAAAAATGAATTCTTCTACATTGTTGGTGGAAATATAAACTAGTACAATTACTATGGGAAATCACTGTGGGAGATTCCATTAGAAACTAAAAATAGGGATTCCATTTAACCCAGCTATCCTCCTTCTAAGTACAGTCCCAAAGGATCATATTGAAGGAATATATGCATACCCATGTTTATAGCAGCACAGTTTATAATAGCTAGATACTGGTAACAGTGTTGACAATGCACATGCCCATCAACTGATGAATGGATGGGAAAATGTGGTGTTTATACACAATGGAGTACTACGGTATCATAAAGTAAGATAAAGTTGGGGTAGTTGTTGGTAAATGGTAAAAGGCGAAAGATTTATATGATCTGAAGAGAAACCAGATATATTTTTGTTGGTAAATGGATGAAACTTGAGAACATAATGTTATGTGAAATAAGTTAGATGCACAAGCTTAAATATAGTGTGATTTCCTTTGTATGAAAAACACAATAGGTAGATAGATAGATAGATAGATAGATAGATAGATAGATAGGTAGATATAGATAGCCACTGGATTTATAGTAGGGAACAATTTTGTCTGCCTTTATGTGCTTGTAGTCTAATGAGGAAGGGTGTAAATTTACCCTAATAATTAATTTAAATCGTGATAATTGCTCTGATGAATATTTTCCAAACCTCATTCCAAGTGTCTGCTTTGTTTTATCTGACATGTATGATCAGTTCCTGTTTCTTGAATTTTCCCCTCCCTTCTTGTCTATTACTTTGTATTATTTATTCATCTACTTTTTATTACTTTCCTCATCTCCTTTTCTTCTTCTTTCTTTACATACTAGATTCTCCTATAGGTTTAGCACTTAGAACATAACCTATTGCCTTTTCCTTCTACCCGTGGCTTTTCATTGTGGTTTTAAGTATCATTGCTAAACGGATGTCCATGTTCAGGTTTGATCTTTCCATGTGTTATATATTATATGTTTTCCTACTTGTAAGTCCAACTGTCACCTAACATTCATCACAGTTATAACGGAACTAATCCATTTTGTGTCAAACCACTTCTTTCACAGTGTTTCTGCTAATAGTATTGATGATCATCTGGTTTCTTATACTTGAAATCTTAAGGCTGGTTTTGTTTCTAATTTTTCCTTTCATTTCAATACCCAAATCACTACCAAATCTTTTCCTTTCATGCACCATAGTATATCTAACAGTCATCCTTTCTCATCTTTCTTTTTTTTCCTCTAGTTTTTCATCCTTTCCTTCCTCAGTCAGAACTACCTAGAATTCGCAATCTTGATCAGGCCCAACTTCCATCAGAAAGTCCACACCTAATGAATATCTTCTGTTTGTAAATCCCAGACAGAGAATAATGAGGATAGTAGAAAGAACACAGCCAAACACCCACATTCAAGTTCTGATTCTCCCATTCACTGCCTCAGTCATCCTGTCTCATGCATTGGAAACAAGGAATAAATCACGTTATGGTGGCAAAACCATCTTGAACTGTGAAGCACCATATAAATGTAAAGTACGATTTTTTATTAGAAGAATAAATGAGAAGCAGGGCCCAAATCCCTAAGGTAATAACCTCTGGTCTTAACTACTATGTGTATGGGTTGACAACTTGGGCCCTACATTCATATAACCTGAGTATCAATCCCAGCTCTATTGCGGTTCTACTCTTATCAACTCTATTATTATCAGCTGTTCCAAATTTTGGACATTTTAGTTAGCTTCCCTGTTCTTGGATTTACTCACTTGTAAAATGGGAGTAATAATGGTTTGCATTCACAGGAATGTTGTAGGATTAAAAGGGTTAATAGATGCACCATACTTAAAAACCAGGTCAGCACAATGTCCTTCAAGTACAGAAGAGGTGGCAAGGGCTAGCAAGCTGGGTGTGGGTACAAGGTGGGAGTCAGTTATTAAAATCACGAAATCAGATGAGGGTCAGATGCATCAAGAATGGAACTGCAGAAGCATAGGATAGACACTGCTCCTAA